TGTCTGTGGCACAAAGGCTGTTTCTATAAAGTTGGGCAGTTCCAACTTTGCAAGGACAGTCTGGCGCTTCTAACTCACAGCCTGTAAGTACGTTTTTTTATATTTAAATAATTTGCCACTTATGATTCAAACGCGAGTTTTGAGCAGTGTAGAGTAGGCTTGTTTGTTGTTTCTCCGATCACAAATGCAGACATGCAGCGCAATACGCAACAAAACGTGTAAAACGACTGTATAAGTCATTATAATCAGTAATTATGTCCCCACTGAATGCAACAAAAGAGAACCGATGATGGGATGATGGGATGTGCACGAGCAGAGCAGCTGGACAGAGTCTCGTCCTGCTGGGAGATGGCATCACAGTATGTTAAGGGGCATAACATTTCCATCACACGCTTGAGGCATTCGGCCAATCACAACGCACTGGATAGCTGGCCAATCAAAGCACACTGTGCTTTTCAGAACAATGAGCTTTGTAAAAATCGTCGTGTTTCAGAAAGGCGGGGCATAGAGGAGGAACAATAATGTACAGTATGTGGAAAATAACGTTTTTTTTTTACTTTAAACCGCATAAACGCATTGCATTACACCAAATACACAACATAATGTTCTTTTTAGCAACGTCATATGACCCCTTTAAGGATGAACAAGCATGGCTGTAACAAGGGTTTGAAAATTAATGAGTTCTGGGATGGGGTGTTAAGAATTGTGCTATAATATCACCTACAAATGCAACTTATTATATACACTATATATAAACTTGTAGATATAGATGTTTGTGAAAGGTGTTGTCTCAATGTACCAAATGAGAGTGTTCCCTGCATAGTTTACAGCATCAGTTGGAAAATATATCCTTCCTTAATTTAATAATAATAATAATAATAATAATAATTTATGCATTTAGCAAACGCTTTTATCCAAAGCGACTTACAGTGCATTCAGGCTATACATTTTTTTTTACCCTTGTAGATATAGATGTTTGTGAAAGGTGTTGTCTCAATGTACCAAATGAGAGTGTTCCCTGCATAGTTTACAGCATCAGTTGGAAAATATATCCTTCCTTAATTTAATAATAATAATAATAATAATAATAATAATAATAATAATAATAATAATAATAATAATAATAATAATAATAATAATAATAATAATAATAATAATAATAATAATAATAATAATTTATGCATTTAGCAAACGCTTTTATCCAAAGCGACTTACGGTGCATTCAGTCTATACATTTTTTACCAGTATGTGTGTTCCCTGCGAATTGAACCCATGACCTTTCGCGCTGCTAACGCAATGCTCTACCACTGAGCCACAGAAATATTTTTTATCTGTACATCCCTAATATTTTTGCCACTCAGTCGTGTGTTCTATGCAATTGTTTTGATAGAGGGAAACAAAATACATTTCTAGTTTCAACATTATTTGTTTTTTTTCCAGACATTACTCTTAAAAAAAGAAATATGTATGTGCAAAGTGACCCACATTTGCATTGAGTACAATTTCAGTTTTGTGTACAATTACATTAAGGAGCCACACTGAAGTCCCTATATCTCTGGAAATGAATCAAATAGGGCCTTAAAAATGAAGATACTAAAAGAAACTTTTGTTAAGAACTAAAATCTTTAACTCTGTAAATATAAATACATGACATTTAATATGTGGCTTTCTTCTCCATTTTTGTATTTCATCCACCAGAAAAAAATATAAACAAAATTAAACATTTGTGCCATCCTCTGGTTATGTCGTCACAGAAAGACCCTCGAGGGTGTGTTGGTTAGGAAAGAAAAAGAAAAGAGGCAAGACAACTCACCAACTCATCATATACATGGTGAGGTAACCAACAACTACCATAAAACCGTTATTAATCAATTCATCATCAAGGCAAAAACACAATTGTTTGTTTAATGGTTTTTTCCTCTTCCTAAAGAATGGGGTCCGAAATCTGCAGTCAGAGAGTAATAGCTAACTCAGTCTGGACTAATGAGTTTGTGAAAAGTGAGGGCCTGCAAGTATTTTGTCTGCTAGGGTTTGACAGTAGACTTCTAATAGAATAGTTCATTCATTCTGTCATCATTTATTCATCCTCATGTTGTTCCAAACTTGTATGGCTTTAGATGTTTAGCACAACATTCACACTACTTTCTACTGAAATTGAATGGTGACCTGGTGCTTTCAAATGCATCATAAAAGTAGTCCACATGACTCAAGTTATAATTCACATCTGTGTACACATTCAAATAGGACAGCAGTGGGATTATGTTCAGTAAATAACTTTTCTTCACAACTATTATTCACACAAAACTATTGTATGACTTCAGAACACTTGGAAAATAGACAATCTTATGGTTCATTTTTGGAACTTGAGTGCTTCTGGTCACCTGCTTCAGGTCCTGCTAATCACCCGCTTTATGACATGATTGAAAATTACACAGGTTTTCAATAACACAGGGTGCTTGAATGATGACTATTCCCTTAACCACAATAAATTTAACTCATGTCAACCAACCAAAGGGAATGGGAACAATTTATTGTGTGGGGGCAAAAAAAATGCAGCACCAAGGTGGATCAAAGTCTGTCATGATAAACCGATTAAATCCTATACATGTTATTCTCACATGAGTATAACAATCATTCAAAACTGCTACAGAGATTGTGTTCCCCATTTGATACCTAAATGCAAGTAAACAAAGAAAGCATGCAAATAATAAATATACACCTTTCCCCTCAAGTTCACACAAGTGTCCCAGCAGAGTAACCATAGGTGAAGTTCATCACATGAACATGTTCCATAACATCTGATAACCAAAAAATGTCACAATACGTTTTATCTTCATTTTGTTGAGTATATATATTATTGAATAATTTAAAACCAAAATTAATTTGTGAAAAGGTCTGCGTTAGAAGTATAAACACCATTTAGTTTGATACTTCGTCAAAACAATTAAATCAAAACATGTTGGCTTAACGGTATACTTTGTGTGTGGACAGTGGATCTAAAAAAAAAAATCACTCCATACGTTTAGCGTAAAGTGGCGTTTTAAAAACTGACAGAAAGTGACTTGCAGCAGCAACAACAACAACAACAACAAACGAAGAGCACATTTAGCTAATGTTTTATCTGTCTAAAAGTATTCAGACTGCTGTATGATAATGGAACTGTGATGTCCCGATACGGTATGTTTGCATTTCTCAGACTTGAGAGCGCAGACAGGCTAACGGTTTACCCCTTTACTTCACACACAAACCAACTTGTCAGCTCTCAAGATAAACACAACATAATCGATACATTTAGACCACATAAACCCGAATGTCGATGAAGAACACGGTTAGAAAATCTAACTAAAAGACATATAATGGAAAATATGAAGGACGCGCGATGGATTAAATACGTTTTAGGGGCCTAAAGCAAAGCAGCCTGTTTGCGCTCATTCAGCTAGCCAGCCACACACAAAATACAGTCCAGACGGGTTAAAACTCATTCACAAGCACGCAACATATGGCGCTCTTTTAAAAGCACTCATAAATGTATATATTCAACGTTTTACACATCGCCGAGTTAGTTTGTCGCGCGCAGATTGCACAGTAGGTCTGTGGTAAAGCAAACGTCCGGTATAACGCTATAAATGTCCATATAAATTCCCCCTTCCATCGGTATACTTTCACATTACCTGTCTCCACCAGTAGTCAAAACCCTCAGGTTAGAATGTTATCGACCCCATTTTTCTTTTCCTCCGTTGTTATGGTCCATCCCTTTTCGATTAAAAAAAAAATGCGAGGATACTTTATCACCTCCTCAAAGCAATGAGAGTGAAGCTGCGTGTTGGTTTATTTGGGAATCACCCTCTCCCTCTCCCCCTCCCCCTCCCCACCGTTTTAAGTGGGAGGTCTACAGACGTACTCAGCACGGTTGTGTCTCAAATTCTAGCGAGTCGACTACCTAGACGGCATTATAGATGGGTTACAAATTCGCAGTTTTGGGAAATCGCCTACGCCTACTATCCCAGCTAACACACCAAGTACGAGTTACAAACTTATTGGTACTTTTTGGTCATTTCATGACTTACTAACTGACAACGTAAAAGGACCTAGCATGCTCGCCATCACGCTTGATAGCACATGTTATTATGATGCTGTTCAGTACCGAACTTAAATGCTTTCATTCATGTAAATATTATCTGTTAATATTGTAAATGTTGATACTTTTGATAGAATTTGCCATTACAAAATACAGAATTTCACTTTTACGCGTTTTAAATAAATGAAGAGAATGAATGAGTCTTCATTCCTCATTCTCTTCTTTTAAAATACATTTGGGCAAATGAAGACATAAATTAGGTTAGCTACTGTACGTCCGCCCATTGAAAAATGCATTTAAAAATAAAAGTACCAGCTGATTACCAACACACAACTATCTGATCCGGTCGCAACTACGACAACGTCACAAAGTTAAGTTGTGGAGACGTTTTTAATTATTATTTTTATTGCAAAATATGCATGTACAAATATTTAAGTTTTTTATAAACATAGTTGCCACAACGAAAGTTTGGTCATCAGATTACGTGGCAGTTGCGTAACAGTCACGTATTTTTGTTAGCTTTGTATGTATTGAATTGAACCATATATATAAATATATATATATATACACAGTCGTGGTCAGAATTATTGGCACCCTTGGTAAATATGATCAAAGAAGGCTGTGAGGCATTATAGAAGGGTTACAAATTCGCAGTTTTGGGACATCGCCTACGCCTACTATCCCAGCTAACACACCAAGTACGAGTTACAAACTTATTGGTACTTTTTGGTAATTTCATGACTTACTAACTGACAACGTAAAAGGACCTAGCATGCTCGCCATCACGCTTGATAGCACATGTTATTATGATGCTGTTCAGTACCGAACTTAAATGCTTTCATTCATGTAAATATTATCTGTTAATATTGTAAATGTTGATACTTTTGATAGAATTTGCCATTACAAAATACAGAATTTCACTTTTACGCGTTTTAAATAAATGAAGAGAATGAATGAGTCTTCATTCCTCATTCTCTTCTTTTAAAATACATTTGGGCAAATGAAGACATAAATTAGGTTAGCTACTGTACGTCCGCCCATTGAAAAATGCATTTAAAAATAAAAGTACCAGCTGATTACCAACACACAACTATCTGATCCGGTCGCAACTACGACAACGTCACAAAGTTAAGTTGTGGAGACGTTTTTAATTATTATTTTTATTGCAAAATATGCATGTACAAATATTTAAGTTTTTTATAAACATAGTTGCCACAACGAAAGTTTGGTCATCAGATTACGTGGCAGTTGCGTAACAGTCACGTATTTTTGTTAGCTTTGTATGTATTGAATTGAACCATATATATAAATATATATATATATATACACAGTCGTGGTCAGAATTATTGGCACCCTTGGTAAATATGATCAAAGAAGGCTGTGAAAATAAATCATTTTATCTTTTATTTAAAAAATTCACATAAATCTAACCTTTCATTGGAGAATAAAAATTTAAAATGGGGGGAAATATCATTATGACATAAAT